TTTAAAGTCTTCAATGTTTCATGTTGAAACTGCTTTTGAAATTATGTGAACAGTGCCAAAAGCAAGAACCAAGCAGCCAATTTCCCCAGCTGCAGAAGCTAATACCCAAACATCCATTCACGCCACGGAGAGCTGAAGGGTGCAGGTGATCCTGGGCATTTTACAAGCAGGAGATGGCAGTATTCACTTAATGTCAGCTGTCAGATCCAGGAGTCATCCAAGTCAGTTGACAGTGAATCCAAGTTCCAGCAAATACCAGCCCCAGCAGCTCCTCCTGGTTCTGCTTCACTTGGCCAGGTACCAATAGTCTCCTCAGCAGTCATATGGCACAGCTTCAGCACAGGAACCACACTTGAACAACTCAGAAGCCACACAGGCACAGAGCTGCTCATCTTTATGGTATTTGCAGTAGTTAAAACATCTTTGCTCTAGACCTACTTGTGTTTGTGCCTCATTGGTGCTTTGGAAGGACAAATAAAACCTACCCGTTCCCAACATTTCTTGCATGACCTTAGACTTACCTGATGAGTAAGCAATCCTTAAAACCAAACCAATGAAAGAGTAACTCTTAGAAACACCAGTTGTTACTCAGCACATTCACTAGACCTGAAATAAGAGTACTCTGACTTCCTCACAATCCCAACAGATTTGAGTTATTATCAGAATCAGCAGCTCTGCCATCCAACAACCAAACCTCAAAAGTGAGAGCTTCCAGGCAGACAACATAATCTCCTGTAAGGATTATGGATCTCATAGTCACAGATGTCACTGTCAGGTGACATCTCCAGTCCTTTTTTGTAGAAAGAAAGCCTGTAGATATATGTTGAGGAGAGGTGTGGGAAAATTAGTTCTCTGAGTTGAAGAATCTGCCCCAGCAAAGCCTGTGTGTTTAAAAAAAAGGTTAGACACTAGAATAAAATCTTCCTTCCTTCATTCTTTTTTCTTTTCAGTTTAACATCCTTCTTATAATTTTTAAAGACTTCTTGAATTGTTAAAATATCACAATTTATATGATAAGATCTGAAAAGTGAGTTTTTCATCTAGGAGTATAGTTTTACATTTTGGTCATAAATCCCTCAGAAAGGGAATTTATAGTGCTCACGCTGACACTCTCTTAATTACAGCATTGAAAAGTTCAACCTTGTTTTATACTTGGTAATGAAGTGTTGATTGCTTCCCCTGGAGAATAAAGCAAGGCATGAAAGAGAAGCACAGGACTGGCTAGGCAGCCTCATGGATATAATAAATAATGGCCACAAAACTGGTACCTCTTCCTCACAGGAGCTACAATGAAAAAACAGCTTCTGTGCAGAAGACAGAAGTTGAAAATCTTTGCCCCATCAATTGTAAAAAATGTTAAAGAGTGATTAGGCAGGAGGAACAAATATTTTAGAGAATGTCACAGACATTTTCTAGCCAAAGGATTTACTAACCACCACAGTACCTGCACTCCTTAGCAGGACATATGTTAGCTCAGCTACATTTTCTGGTTAGAGATGCAAAACTTATAACCAGATGTTTCATAAAGAAAACTTAATTTTCAAGGTTTGCCTTTATGAACTTTTCATCTGCAGGACTTGAGCTGATTTTAAAGCTGTCAAGAGAACTGGCATACTTTTTTGAATTTTGACATACTTAGAGTTGAGATAGCAACAGCTGCTGCAGTCTGGAGGGAAGAGGGGAAGGATGTCCCTCCCAGTGACTGTTGTCAGTGGCAGAGCAGTCCTGTGCCAGCCCAGCTCCTCATGGCAATAGCTTCAGCTACTCTGGGAAGCCTCAATCTGATGTTAGTGATCATCTTTAGTGCTCAAAGGGCCTTTGAAGCATGAAGCTGACCTTTGAGAGCAATGTCCAGCTGTCGCAGCACAATTCAAGTAATGAATTTTACAGGAGATCCACCTTCAAGACCATCACAGAGTGTGACATGTCCAACACCCCCAGCACATCTTCTCAGCATAACAGAGCTCAGGCTCCTTGAAGAGAATCTCTTGTCGGAAGTGTTCTAGTGTATATTTGGCTCCATTCTTATCAGAGTTGCATTTTAATCTTGGTAAATTATTGTCACTTAATCATAATATTTAAAGTAAATATTGACTTAAAGTAAATTACTAAGGTCACTAGCAGAAAAGCTGACATGAAGGAAGGGAGGTGGTACTTGTAAGTGTCTGGACTGTTGCCTGCTGAAATGCTTGTCTGAGTCCTCAAACTGAGCTGCTCCTCAGTTCATTCACCCTGTCTCATGGTATTTGCAAGATCTGCATTTAAAAAATCTTATGAGGAGTTACTGCCCACTGGCTTCATACACAAAATCCTGTGCTGTCCCTTACAATTTCTGTAATAATTTGCATTTGTAAATGTCAAAAATAATAGAAATCATTATATCACATTTTCAAAGGCATCAGGCCTAAAAGGTGAGGAAGTTTGCCAAAGATCTCACAGCAGTTACATGCCTTGGGCAGAACATTGCTTCCAGGTTTTATCCTAATGTCCTGACTTTGGAATGGCATTTCCTTATAGCAAAGCTCACTGTGCCAGAAGAAACCTTTTCATTTATCAGAACTGTATTTCAAAAGTTTCACTTGAGTGAAAACTCTGCTGTGTGGTTTGGGATGCTCAATAAAAACCCTTTAAAAATACATGTGAAAATATTTGAAATAAGTATAAAAGTGCATTTTTTTAGACACACACTAAAAAGTTATTTACTCAGCATCTTGAGCCAGCTTTGACCACAGAAAACATCAGTGTGTTTAAAGGGCCTGCAATCCCACCCTCAGATGAAGAGTTAAATATTACATTTACTACATCCACAGTGATAAAGTGCCAGCAGATCATTACCAGTACTATCAACAGTGCATTGATACCAATGTTACAAGGCCTCAGCAGAAAAGCAAAAATGCAGAAAATTCTGCAGGGAACCAGAGGAAAATTTTCTCCCATGCTTTTTAAGCCAATTATATAAAAATCTTTCATAAAAATAATGTTACTTTGAGTGGGAAGGACTGGAAAAAACAGCATTTGAAAAGCATCATTTCAAACGAAGTGAGCTGCAACTCAGCAAAAAACAGTCCAGCTCTCCCCCCTAGGCAACTTTCAGCTTTTCATTTCTTTCCCACTACAGAGTAGCACCACGGGTGAGCTGAGGAGAGAAAAGGCTCTGTTACCATCTGCTTTAGCCTCCTGCTCTCACTCATTATCCCTGTAAGCCTGCAGAGAGGTTTAGGAAAGGGATCTTCAGGCAGGCTGGGCACAATGAGTGGGGATGAGCTCAGCCTTCAGCCTAAACTCAATCCCATGGAGCCCCAGGGGGCTCAGTGTGAGAAGAACACACACCAAGGCTTCTCTCCATGGTCATTTTCCCTTTTCCTCCCATTCTACTGAGCTCTTCTTAACACTGATTTTGCTACTGCTGGTGGAAGCTTTTCTGGGATCATAAAACAGAGATAGCCCAGGTCTTTCTCTACTTTCTAGGTGGCTGATTGCAGGGATTTATTATTGTGCAAGGCCTTCCCTCAGGGCACACAGGAAGGGAGGAGAAGTTCCTTGCATGTGTGCTCACTCATGCATAGATCAGCTTTAATCTGACACATGCTACATCAGAAAAGTTTAGAAAAGCCTTTAGTTCATCAAAGCGAAAGAATTCTCTGGGGATGGCGAGAGCACGCTGGTCCTAATGCAGATAAGCATGTAGTCATGTAAAAACACATGTCAAAATCTCACTAAAATCAAAATATGATTGAAAAATTAATGATATCCTTGAATGATAATTTCTGAATAGAGATAGAATGAGAGATACTCGACAGGGACACGCCTTCCAGATGCCTTGGAAAAGCATCCATCTGGTTATATCTCCAGGATCAGCATATTTGTATAGAATGCAAATCACTCTTTCAACTGCTGTTATCTTTCTGCACTGTAGTCATAACTGAGTGAGTCATGTTAAAGGGTCAAAACCTTCTGTTCTACTTTTTGTGATAAGTATCTTTTCAACATGCAGTGTTAGAGATCCTGTGTGCCAGCAGATCAAGGTAGGAGCTGGTGTGGGGTGATCTACAGCCATGATCTGTAGTAAGAGACTTCTGAGTATCCTGAAGAGAAAACTTACCTTTGTAACTTCAGAAGAGCCTCGGTTTAGAAGAGCAAAGGACAATTTTTCAGAAATGCAGGCAGGTATCAACAACTCCTCATGGCTGCTGATCTCAAATACATGTTTGTGTGTGTGTGTGTGTGTGTGTGTGTGTGTGTGTGTGTGTGTGTATAAAAATGAATATAGGTAGAATCCTATTATTTCACTTATCACATTAAAAAAATCCTTTCACATCTCCAAACAGATTATATTTGTGCAAAATTCAGAAACTACACAATATGTTTGTAAACACTAGCTACAACACCTCTAAATCACTAACATTTGACTGAATATCTGAACTTAGACACTCTATGAGATGATTTAAAAATAAACACAAGATTTGAACTCTACAGAGAAAAAAACAACAAAAAACAACCAACTTTCTTTCCATGGAAAATTTAACATGCTCCTCATTTAACAGGAGACAATGTCTAGAATAAAGAACATAGAAATGTGAATTTACAAGTGCTTTTTTGGCCTGATCTCCGATTAAAAATATCTTGCTTAACTTCAGCTGAGCATCAGCTGAGGACTTGTGTATGCTTGTAATGATCATAAAAATGTCACACGCACAAAAATTGTTTCCTCTTTCCTTATTAGACTGGACTAGTAGTTTTCAAATACCACCCCCTCTTTCAAAAAAATGTTTTTTAAATTTCCTTTATTATTAAGAAAGTCCTTTTATCCTGGAGCTAAGCTACAGAATATGTTGCAGGAGAGAAGACAAAGGCTGGAACACTGAATGCTCTGCCAGGTAATTTAAGCCCAACTGTGTTCTCTCCAGAACCTTTCTGTCTCACATGGGGAATTATTTAACCCCATTTTTGCAAAGGATAACTGCCCTGCTGAGCCTCAAAGGCAGCAATACAGAGCTTACCTTTAATCCTGTGCAGAATAATGAGTGATACACTGCTGAGATTAGTCAGGCAGTGTCAAATGGAGGTTCCTTCCTCTTTGTACTCTGACTCCACCTGGGTAAAAGCACACTGTTAAAGACCCCTTAAGCATACAAAATCTCTAATCAAGTTTTCAACAGCCTGGGCCTTTTAGCTAATTTAAAATTTAAAAGAAAAAAAAGTCACCTTTGATGACACTCACTTCTTCACATGGACGGATTTTGTTATGGCTGCTGCTGGAAGGGGGAAAAAAAATTAAACAAAAAAAGTTGTTCTGAGAAAAAAGTCAACACGAATTCTGAAATATGTCCCTTCCAGCCAGCAGGACTCTCTCCTCTTGTAGCACTGAGCCTTTTTCACACTCACACCATGTGTTAATAACCTGGCTATGTGTTAATGATGGCTCCACCTGAGATCATCAATTCTAACAGCTTTTGGTTGTCTTAGGCAAATTTTTTAATTCTTTGCCTTCTGGTTTCTAAACTTTTCAGATGCCCTTTCTTTCTAAGTTTTTTCCGCATCCAGGGGGTTTATAATTTACTATTTTTTACAAACACTAAGAGTCTCAGGAACTCTGCTCATTGGGCTTCTAGGAACACATCAGATATCTTTAATCCTTACGAAGAAAAAAAATCAAAACCTGAGAATTAAAAAAAAAATCACATCTGTTTTGTGACATGCATTTATAATTTCTGTGCAAACATTCAGCTCATGTTCTGTCAGGTGAAAATGATTTAAGCATGGAACCTAGAATTTAAAAGTTAGACCAGAAAAGAACACCTGGTTTGTTACCCTGGAGGGAAATAGATTAGAGAATATTCATTTTGTTAACAACTGATACTTGGCACTCATTTTTTTATTTTAAAAATAGTGAATACATTGAAGCTGAATTACACCAGTTTTCAATTGATTTATATGCAAATAATAATCAGAAATTATAATTAGATCTGTGGATAAATCTATTTAGAAATAAATATTATTTTAACAGATTGAAATGCAATACAAATATCAAAACAGAGTTTGAATATGGCAAAACAGAGTTCATTTTTTGAGATATTTTATGAAAACAAAACAAAATGTGACACTGATGAAAAAGAAAACACAGAAAACTAAAAATTAAAAGCCATGCAGAATTACAACTGGAGAAGAGGTTCCTTATAGGACCTCTAGGGAAAAGGAAGAAAATCCTGCTCCCAGTAAGTGCCAGTCAGCAGCTTTCCCCTGGTCTGGCAGCACAGATGGAGGGAACACACCGAGCTGCTGACGTGATGACAGACATCTTCAGCGGGCTGAGAAGACCTTGGCCACTGCTGTGGCAGGAAAGCCTCAGTTACACAGCAAAGACAAGAGCTGAAGTTGTTTCTTGATGATTTTTGTAGCGTGACAACAGCCAGGCTTTAGCACCGGGCAGTGCAATAGCAACAGCGCTGTGGCAAGGAGGGGTTTTGATAATAAAAATGCCAGACAAAAAAGGCAGCAGAAGAACATCCTTGATACTACAGAAAGAATATAAAAAAGTGTTTCCAGCCTCTGATGACCAGTGGATACCAGTGAGGTGCTTTGATGTCAGGGAGGAGATCAGTCAGTACAATCAGAAAGGACGGGGCTGGAGAAGGCAATGTCTCCAGCCCCATGTCCGCCTCTGCCCTGCTCTGCTTTTAGCTCCCTTCTTGTGAGGAGCAGCTTGCTACCCCCAAAAGATGAGAGATAAGGTCAATGGAAATGCAAGGTATTGTCAGACTGTGGCTATTTCTTTATTTTTTTCAAAGAGAGGAAATAATGTGTGCAGAGCAGCAGTGGTTCATATTGGGTCAGTCAGGAAGTGTGGGGCTGAGAATTTAAAAGGCATTTTTCTTTTGTGGTTCTCTCAGAGAGAAAAAGCGTACAAGAAAACTGTTTTTTTTGCTAAAAAATTCAAACTTCGAGCTCACCTAGAGCTAGCTGAGGTACTGAGGTATCAACATCATGTTTCACTCTGAAGAATGTCACTTTAAGTGGAATAGTTTGCATCTGTGGCTGCAGTTATTACAGAAATGCTAAATAGCTAAAACCAGCGCTCCTTTGGATTGCAGCACAGGTAATAACAAAAGGAGGACAGGAAGACAATGAGAGATTATTAACTCTGTTCCCACAGGTGAAGAGCTGAGGCATAATTGGTTTTTCCCACAGGTGAAGAGCTGAGGCATAATTGGTTTCAAGCTGAAGTTTCACACACATCTTCATCCAGCACTTACTGTGGAAAAAGGCCTCGTCTGCCTCTTGCTATCTCTGCCCCAGCTCGGCCCACATAGATAAGAAAGAAATCTGAAAACACAAATCCAAAACTAACACCGTGAATATTGCAAGTAATGGAAAAGAGAAGATCAGCTGGAGATATACCTCTTTAAGTTACAAAACTGATTTTAATTTGGCCTTTCATGGTTGTTACTTAGCAGTAAACAAGCTGATAATCTTTACTGCTGTGAATAGGTATGGAAAATTAATGCAACAGAACCACTCAGAAGCTCACAAGAGTTGTCCTTGAACAGCATAGTTGGCTGAAATACCTGGAATTCAATCTGCATGTTACACTGTTACATCTACCTCAGATGAGGAAGCTGAAAATAGAGACTCTGTAATTAAGCCAAGCACTGTGTGTTTTGAAATTCGTTAATGAAAAATCCAACCAGCCAACAAACAACTGATTCTTGTGTTGTCAGAGAGAAAAGGAAAAATCTGTTATGCCAAGACACCTACGAACAACTTAAAATGCATTAAGATATATCTCAGTTGATGTGACAAAAAAAAAAAAAAATAAGAAAATTGAGTAAGAAATTTGTCAATGATTCACTTAAAGAAAAAAAGGCATTTTGCAAAGAGGAAAAGAATCACCAAGCAGGAGCTTTTTGAAAACCTCCATGATGATTAAAATAAAATCCACACTAATAATTTCTGTTGAAATATTCAAGCAGAAAAGTTGAGAGCAGAGCTGCCTTGGAAATGCTATTTATTGCTGACATATGTTTTACAGATATTTTTTAGGCCTTCAGACATCATGGTGTTATTTATGTGTGTGCTGAGAACAAATTTGCTGCCTTCTGAGGCTTGTTCAAAAATGTTTTTTAATCACTCTATCAAAAATCAGGCTCTGCAGAAAAATTTGGATCAGCTGAAGAGAAAAAAAGCTGCAGTTGCTCCTGTGTGTGGAGTCCCTGCACCATGCTGGTTTAACACTACCTCCTTTTCACTCTTACTGTTTAAAGGAAAGATGAATGTTTGAGGGATAGGCTGGTCCTACCAGCATAATAAAGAGGTTTTTTAATTAGTTTTCCCTCTGACTGAAGGAAACCAGCAGTCCTTCTGGATATGTTTCAGTTGAGAAAAAACGAGGAAGAAATTGCCATAGGGTTCTTGTACCAAAGTGCTGGGTTACTGCAGGGGAGAAGAGAGGCCAGGGAGAGTGACAATCCCAGCTGATTTTACAGGAAATGCATTTTTAAAGAAATTACATACACATTTTTAGCAGCTGATTTGCAACAATTTGTAAAAAAAATACCTTAAAATCCCAAACACAGAAAACAGATCCTCTTTACTTCTGTGGGGTTTGTTGCAGGCCCTTGAGAACAAAGAGCAGAATAATAAACCAAAGGACATCAGTGAGGCTGTGCTGTGGTTTTGTAGCAGCAGGTCACATCTCAAACCCCAGCACCTGAGCTGCTGCTGCTGTGTCACCACGGCTGGGCCACTCGCATGAGAGCGGTCATGGCTCCTTTGCTTCTTCACATCACTGAGGGTGGAAGCCAGAGTTGGGCTAAACAAAACTCTTGTAAAATATCCAGGAGAAACCCGTGAACTCAATGGAAAGCAGCTGGCTGTTTGTTTTCCTTCCTTATTTGCCCTCAGGTTGTTTGGACTGCAAATACGGTGGAGGCTGATGTCGCAAAGGGGACAGGGACAGCTTTCTGCAGAAAGCACTGCACAGGCATCCCAAAAGCAGCAGCACTCCAAAAGACTGAGCCTTTTTCAAGGGATCAGAACACCTCATTGCAATGGGAGCTTCCCAATCCCTCACCAGAGTCCCTGCATGGGAGCAGCTGGTCTGCACAGCCCAGGATTTGCATGGCAGGACGCCCTTCCTGCTGGGATGGCAGCTGCACTCTGATCTCCCCAACCCTGCAACTGCTACTTGAGGACTTCGGGCAACTCACTCTGTGCCTCACCTTCCCCAGCTGCAAAATGGAGAAGAGAACACTTCACTTTGCTGAGATTTTGGGTCAGGAATACAAGAGGCAGCGTTTGTGGTACACTATCAACAAGGTTCCACCACCAATTCAGTGCTGTCATTACGACCAACATTGCTATTGTTTTACTCCAGATGGAATCTGTGCTATCAAAAGTTATCTTGCTATACTTAAAAACTAAATCTGCATGAGTGTAGCACTGGAAAAAAACAATTTATAATTCTGAGGCCAATATGATAATCATATTTATTTGCCTCTATTTTTTCAGCTACCATATGATACAATCATGCTGGTAAAAAAGAAATATATTTTAAAGCAGCAGTTATTGATGGCAACTTTAACACCTTCCATACTCTTTTCCCAAAGGCAAAGGATTATGTAATAAAAAGAAGTCTGTATTACAGCACTGAGGTTTGGAATTAGCATAATAAACTGAATTTTAAAACAATACTGGCCCTATCCTGTACTTACAGATAATAGAATTTATGACTTAGAGGTGCTGCCACTGAGAATATAACACGGGAGGAAACTGCCAAAGAAATATTCCAATTTATATATGTCATACTACATTTCTATGTCCCTTCTACTACACTTCCTCAGGCTGGAAGGCTGTGGTGTGTGGACTCTGAGTCTCAGTCAGGAAACTTGCTGCAGTTCCAATTCCACTCCTCCTGCCTGAAGCCCTCAGCAAACCTCCCAGGAGCTCCTGGCTGTGGTTTCAACCTAGTGACCCAGGAACACCAGCAAGCTTCTTTGCATGTTTCAGATTCCTAAAATTCTCCTTTCCTGGGACATTAAAATACCATCCATGCTACTCTGGCACTTGCTTTTTTATTCATACCAGGATTTGTGCGCATTCTTCTAGGACCATTTATGTCATCCTCCCTTTTAATGACAAACTAGTGATGGTTCAGTGAGTCTGAACATACCAGGTTGTTTCTGTCACTAAGATCTGTTGCTTGTGCAGTACATTTCTACAAGCCATGCAGGAGGCACATCAGTCCACAGGGAGAGAGGAGAGATGCCTGCTTTCCTTATCCCTGG